CAACAGAATGAACTCCACCTACAACGATACTCCCTAACAATCTGTAAATATTCCCTGCAGTCATCTTGCCTTTCATCACAGTCAAAGCACCTTTAACAATCCGAATGGTTTCCCTATCCTCATCAGCCTTAGGGATAAAAGCATTCTTGTGCAAAGTGTCCAAATAAATCAAATTCTTCTTTAAATCTGGGATATGCCGAACACAACTCAACGTCCAAACAGAGCCGTCATACATCTTAATTTTGACCTCACCAATACCAACAATATTACAACATCGATCATCACCCAAAAAACAAAACCAGAATTAACCGACCTGTATGTCGAAAATCATTCCCTATTTTGCGTGATGTGATAAGAACATCCTGGATCAAGAATCCAAACATCCGTCAATTGAGTCGTTGAAATAGAAAGCATATCACCCTCACTGCAATCAGAATTGTCATCCTCGACCACATTCACAGACTTGGATGAATCATCACGCTTCTCATCAGTCTTATTTTTCAAATTCGGACAATCTCGCTTCATATGTCCCGCCTCCTTGCACTTGTAACAGTGAATTGTCTTCTTACCCTAGATTTGGATCTGGAATTCCGCTTGTCAGACCCTGTCTTCCGTCCACGATCTCGATTACCCTTGACATATAAGCTATCGGCTTGAGAGCTTTCCCCTGCATTCTACTTTCGCTGGTTGTGAGCCAACAAGGCTGCAGTAATCTCCTCAACGTTGATAGTCTCTTTCTCATATGTAAGAGTAGTCACCATGTGTTCGTAAGAGGGAGGCAACGAACACAACAAAAGCATCGCTCTGTCTTCATCCTCAATTTTCACATCAATCCGAGCCAAATCAGAAACGATTTGATTGAAGACAATCACGTGTTGCGCCAAATCATGATCGTCCTGCATCTTCAGCCCATACAGCCGCTGCTTTAGATACAGTTTTGTCGTTAAGGATTTGGATATAAACTGATTTTCCAACTTCCTCCAAATTTCGTATGGAGACGATAGATGCATGACGTGATACATGACCTCGTCCGCCAAGCATAATCGTATGGTTCATGCCGCTCGCTGTTGCAATTCTTCCCAATCTTCCTCCTCCATCGATGCCGGCTTTGTAGGTCGCAAAGCCTTCATGATCCCCTGCTGCGCCAACAGATCTTTCACCCTCGTTTGCCATAATCTGAAGTTACCCTAACCATCGAATTTTGCAACTTTGAATTTTGCTCCTGACATCTGATACCAATTGTTGAAGAATCGGGAAAAGTAAACGAAAGAACACAAGAATTTTAACGAGATTCAGCAATGTGCTTACGTCCTCGGTGCCTAGGCGGCGCTAGAAATTTTATTTAATTTCTCATAGGTTTAGGTTACATCTCTATTTATAATAGAAAACCCTGATACATAATTATAAAATTAACCTTATACCATACCGCAGGGCTACGCCCACGCACCCCTAACCCGCATAATCGTAACCCCCACTACGAGACTTTCTTTGTAAGAACAGTTGATGTTCGCTACGTTCACTCACTCCACTACATCCCCTTTCCTCTTTACCGATATATTTATGAGACATACCTTACAAAATTGAAGGTCAGGGTCGAGTTTAGGGTTATCTGCCCTAACTCACTCTAAAATATTTAAAAATATTATATATACTATTTATCATATTTATGAAAATATCAATGTATATTATTTGGGGTTTCGTACTTTGTTTTACTTCTTATTTCCTTTCTTTGTCTCTCTCTTTATTTTGTTTCTCGAATTTCTTCTTCATTATCTCTTTTGCTTTGATGTTCATGCAGTTTTCTTTGAATTGCAGAGGTGTTGTCTTTTTCCCATCAATCACCCCAAAAAAACCCAAATAAGATTTCTAGGTTTGTCTTTCCCTGTTTTATCTCTCATATGTTTTCCTTGCATGACATGTTTTCATAAGGTTTGATTCTTGCACCCTTTTTTTTATATTCGATTACTGTTAAAATTTCATTAATGATTCCAAGGTTGGATTTTGCTCGAAAACTATATTTTTCTCACCAGACACCAATCATTCATGATGAGTATCGATTCGAAGGTTGTGCTGTACACGCACCTGGAAATTAGTTGGATTGAACTTAATTGCATCGTATAAATTCGGAGACAAATTTCAGACATACATACGATCCCATAGCTTACCTGGATGTATTTGTTAATCATTATAAAACTATTTAATCAAATAAACAATAATCTTATTAAGTTCAGCTCAAACTAAAGGGTCTTTTGAACAAAAAGTAAGGTATACAGACAGGGTTTCATAAACTTTATGATTTGTCGTCACAAACATGAATGTCGAGGATCACATGCAAAGGGCTGATCCTTTTTTCAAAACAATACATTACCCCAATTATCAAAAACAATTTTTTCTATAACATTAATGAAAAGGGGTGATCAATTTTAGCTTTGAAATGTGTGCTAGAAAGAGGTGATTTGATTTTGACTAGAGAGTCAAAAATTGATTCCCAATAAAAATATTTGATGATAACGTCCCATCTTGATCTTTGCATGGATTTACTTTAAACAATATAGTCCCCAAAAAAATCAACAAAAGAATTATAAAGTTTACCCTGTTCTATAATCACTCTATATTTATTTTATTAATTAATTAATTCAAATTTAATTATATATTATAAAATCTTATTAAGAAAAAGATTCTTTAAACACATTTTAATTCATTAATAACGTTGGAATTTAAATTATAATATTATTTTTAAAATCTATTTTTCTGCTAAATTAATTGACAATTAACAAAAAAATTACTTAAAAAAATTAAATACAATACTAATAAAAATTGTAAAGTTTGTATTATAATAATAAAAACGTAAGAAGAAAAATATGAGCAGGGATGTAAAAATCTTACCCGACTTGTAAAATTGATTGAAACCGACTTGAGTTAAAATTGTTTGTGACCCGAAATGGTAATGATCCGAAACCGATTCAAGTTTGAACTTGTGTTGACATGTACCCGAGTTGGAACCAAAAATTTATGACATGTACCCAACCTGAGAACAACTTGAACCCGAATTCGACCTGATAATGTGACAACCGAATCCGACCTGATATGAACCCGAACCCGAGAATAACCCGATAAACAACTGATATTACATGATTTGTTATCAACCTCACATGTTATCAACCTGACATGTTACCAACCTGATCTGTAACTGACTCAACCTGTAAATGATCCGACATGTTATTAAATTGAACTAATATTTACCTGACTTGTAAGTTATAATTGATAAAGTTAGAAAATTATAATTTTCTAATATTACAATGTGACATAATACTTCTTCACAATTTATAATACATGACTAACTATGATATAATACAAAATAAATTAGTAATTATCATCATTATATTACTAAATTTACTTTAAATTACTAAATTGACTTTATATATTTATTATGATCATAATATTAAAAAAATAATTATGGCTATTAAATTAATTTTATTAAATGATTCATGAATCATTTTTATGTAATAATTAATAACTTAAATATAATTTATCTTAAATTTTTAATTTATATATTAAACATGATTCTAGTTATTGATAACATAAGAATGTGAGATTAAAAATTTAATAACTTTATAAATATTGAAACTAATAAAATGTATAAATGTACAAATTAAATTTATTACAACTCAATACACCACAATTACAATTAAATAAAGTAAATAAATTTACGTTGAAATTTAAGGTCTCGGATCTTATAGCAAAAGTTTTACAAGGCTGAAAAACCGACTTTACTACCAAAAATTTATTCATCGAGCTTTTGTTTATCTCAAAATATATAAATGATGCCAACATGATTAAATTATGGGCATCTTTTTAGTTTTAAAAGTCAAAATAACAACAACATAATTTAACCATGGGTTACTAATTAGATAAGAATCTACAACAGTTCAATTCTATCATACCAACAACAATAATTTACAAGGAATCAGTCAACCAACAAGCAACAATTCATCATTTAGACCAAAACTAATCAACATTCAAACGATTTCTAATAAGCATTCAGACGAATTCCAATCAACATTCAGACCAAGTCCAATTAGCATTCATACCAATCCAATTAATGGTAAGGGGAATACGATGGCCAACAATGTCAAACAGTTTCGACTTTACGAAACCTACATAATTTAAAACAATACATAATTTAAAACAACGGTAAATCATTCATTTATATGCTTGCTGAAATTTATGAAAATTAATCAAAAAAAGAACCATAAATGTAAAAGCAGTAGCATGCTTGTTGAAATCCATGAAAATTAATGAAAAACCAGTAAATGTAAAAGCAGTAGCATGCTTGTTGAAATCCATGAAAATTAATGAAAAAATAGTAAATGTAAAACCAGTAGCACCATATAATAAATCTTTTCAAGTATTAATGAAAATTATGAAATAAACACAATAAAGAAATTACCATAAAAGGGAATAATCAAGAAAGAATTATTCACAAATTCATTCAAATGTGCTTTTTGTAAATGTAAAAGCAGTAGCACCCTACAAAAGAAAAAAATTAATAAACAATTTAATGAAACAAACATAAGAAAATAAAGCAAATCAAATATTTACCTTTAAAGAGAAGAATCAGTAGCTACAGTAAGATACTCTATCCATTTCTTTTGGTTCAAAACCATACAAACAATTTTGAGTTGTTACAAAAATCTCAACATTTTTATGTAAAAGTTTGGCTCTCAACTTGTTCAAAATACGACCCCCATGCTAAAGGAAGATTCGGAAGTAACTAAAGTAATTAGAATAGCCAATATATATCTCGCCATGCGAGAGAGTACATAATAAAAAGCATTTTGTGATTTCCAATACCCCAAAATGTCAAACTCAACATTTTCATTACGGGGAACAAGAGGCAAATTAATGTAAGAATCAACATCTAATTTTACAGTCCTTGAAGCAGCTAAATTAACATCAAATTATGAAAAGACAAATAAAATAAAATAGTTAGAAATGTGAAAATAAAATTATAAAATTAAAATAATTAAGATTATAAAAGGCTGACTTGAAATATATAAGATTTTTTAAATTTTCGAGGCCGATTGAAAGAACTTGACCCACTTGTCTCTAGAGATGTGTTACTTTGAACAGAAGAAAAAGAAATAGAAAGTGCAGATTTTGAATAATATATATATATATATATATATATTAACAAACTCTTTATATATGACATTTACCCTTCGTTGAACTTCATCCTCTACATAAAGAACAATGTACAACTCCTTCAAGAGTTGTAATTTATATCAAGGAACAAGCAAAACAACAATAGACAGAATCAATGAGTGATCAGACCAATATTTCTCATATAATTCAAGCATGGATCATGCCATTGCAGAAATGCCTTGATAATGATCATTGTGAGCATCACACAACAACTTTTCAATTGCAACAATATTAACCAAATACAAGTTAGAGGTGGGATACTTAGATCTAGAGAACATAGTAGTAATTTCATAAAATAGCTCAAGAAAATCACAAATTGTTTAAACAGTTTCCCACTCATATTCAATAATAGCATCCAAGTCATTTTCCTTATTCACAAACAAATTAATGGCTAATTTAGCATCAAGTGCCCTATGAATCATTAAGTAAGTAAAATTCCATCGAGTAGGAACATCTAGTAATAATTTACCACGAAAATAAGATTCACAATCTTTAACAACTAATTCAAAGGCACAAAGTCTAAAATCATAAGAATCAATAAACTTGACAATTTCTCGTAACTTAATAACGAAAGAATCAATTACCTTCAAACCTTTTTGAACTATCAAGTTCAAAATGTAGGCAGCACACCTTACATGAAAATATTTACCATTGCATGGAAGAGGAGAAATAACATGCAAATGATCTCTAAGTCTTTTAACCATTTTATCATTTGCAGAAGCATTGTCAAGAGTTATAGTAAAAGCTTTTCTTTCAAGACCCCACTCGCATATCATTTTTTCACAAACTTAAAAATTGACTCAGCATCATGTGGTGGAGAAAAAAAGACGAAAATTTAGTATTTTAGATTGAAGTGTCCAATTATTATCAACATAGTGTACAATGAGAGCAAAATAAGAACGTGAAGTGCAAGCAGGTCATCCATCACATGTAAAACAGATTCGACTTGAAACATTATGCATTGAATCAAGTAGGTACTTCTTTTGCTTTTCATGTTGTAACATGTAAAACTTAGTAATAGTATACCTTGAAATATCCTTCGCATTAACATTAATGTAATAATGCAAAACCCTAAGTTTATTATGCTTAACCATACACAAAGCATAACCATGACACAGAATAGCCTCAGCAAATAATTCACAATATCTATTTTGATTAAAAAGAACTTACCATATTAGGATTTTCAGCCAGGAAATCCTTATAAGCTTGGCATTTATCAGTATGTATTTTAGGGTTAGATGTAACAATATAAGAATCAACTTTATACCTTTTGATTTTGCAATACTTACATTGGGCATAAAGACCACATTCGGGAGACTAGATAATGGTATAATGGTCCCAAACATGGAAGTTCTTCTCCCGAATTCTTATGAAGCCTTCATCTTAGAGGAAATAATGTCATCAACTGCTACAGACTGTTGATCATTGAAATCTTCTCCAAAAAACAAATAATCATTTATTAGAACATTAAATATAAACAAAATAAATTATATAAATAACAAAATAATAATAATAGAAAACAAATAAAAAACAGAAACTAAATAATAAAAATAAATAAATAAAAATAAAAAATAGAAAACAATATAAGAGTCAGCTAATTCAAAGTCCTTCACATTAACATAAGAATCAGCTAATATCCTTCACATTAACATTAAGAATCAGCTAATATCCTTCACATCAACAAATAAAAATAGAAAACAATATAAGAATCAACTAATATCATTCACATTGACATAAGAATCATCTAATACCCTTCACATCAACAAATAAATCAGAAAACAATATAAGAATCAACTAATTCAAAGTCATTCACATTAACATAAGAATCAACTAATAAAACAAATAAAAAGATAAGATTAAACTTATAAAAAACAGAAAACAAATAAAAAATAAATAGAAAACAGAAAATAAAAAACAAATAAAATAAAATAGAAAAAATAGAAAACAAAAAGTAAAAACATATAATGTATACAAAAAATAAAAAGAAAACAGAAAATAAAAACATATAAAATTAAAAAAACAAAAACGTATGAAAAAACAGAAAACAATTAGCAAATAAAAAACAAATAATAAATAGTGGGTTTTTACCTCTTTGGGATTGTTAATCATTTTGATATCTTTGTAGGTTCACTGCATGAGAAAAAACATAGTCATTTGTTAGTTACAACCTTCAAAAATAAAAATAAAAACAAATAAAATGAATATAGAAAAGAAGTAAAAAAAATCATTTGTTAGAACATAAAATATATATAAAAATAGAAAACAAAAAACAAGTAAGAAAGATCAATTTTTTTAAAACTTTTTTTGAGGTTAACAAATATCTAAGAAATTTTAAGAAACATATTAGTAAAAAAAGTTTTTTGATGTTGTTTTGGATCGAAAATAATAATAATGAATAACTGACGAAGAAATTTGTGTTTTGATAAAAAAAAATACAAAAAAAGAATGAAAGTTTTTATTTTTTTGGATAGGACAGCTTGTTATGGAAGAACATATGAGGATCACATATGAATTTTAGGGGTTTGATCTAAATTTTTTTGAAATCTGAAAAAAAAATGTTTTTCTAGAGAGAGGAGATGATTTTTCGAGAGAAATAATTTAGAGAAAGAGAATTTAAAAAATAAGAAAATTGAAATTGAAAATCAGTAAAAAAATGGTATTTATATTACATTTTAATGAATGACTTCTAGGCTCGCACTTCTTTGGAGACGATAGTCTTGTCTCTTAAATTTAAATTATTTCAATTTAATCTTTTATCTTATTTTAATTGCTTTTAATTTCAGATTGTTTTATTTATTTATTTAATTTAGTCGTACACATATATACTTTATATATATATTATAATTATTTAAATTTTTCTCAAATTTTGAAACGAATGCAATTTAGTCCATTGTACATGTTTTCTTTACATTTTACAATTATTTCGATTTGATCCCTTTGTGTTGTTTATTTATTTAAATTGTAATTTCATATTTATTCAATTTAGTCCTTAAAATTATATTTGCATATAAAATTGGCCCATACTTATTACTTATTTATATTTTTGTAATTGGCCCATAACTTTTTAAATGGGTATAATTTAATATTTTTTATATTAATTCAATCTCACATTTTAAAATTATTTCGATTTTGTCCCTCATCAATGCGTGTTTTTTAATTTATTTAAATTTTTACTTGTAATTTCATATTGGTTCAATTTAATCCTTAAAATTATAATTTTATCAAAATTGATCCATAATTATTTATATTTTTAGTAATTTACTCTAAATCATATACAATTACAAATTGCAATTCAATGTTCACGAAAGGCGAAAAATAATTAATCCAAAAATAAAAAATGACCCGACCTGAAGTCAACCCGTATCCGATAAAGATTCGACTTGAATTTTATCTACCAATGATATGACCCAATCTGAGCGAGACCTGACTAAAGTTCATTTCGAACCTGAATTAACCTGGTGTTTAGCTATTCCGGACCTGAACCGTTTTGACGTGAATTGAAATCGATCTAAACTGAAATTAACCCGAGCTAAACCCAAACTGAATCTGATGTCAAATCAACCTGAAAATAACATGAACTGATTTGATATGAACCCAACCAAATCCGATTCAAATCATCAAAATGACATGACACGACCTGTATATGATTTTACCTAACCTGACAGGATTCAACTGAAATCTGAATGATTACACGATTTTACGCCCCTGAAGGTTGTCTCCATGCTTGAGATTACAACTCAAGCGCATGTTCCCTAATGTGTCGCCATAACTTTATTCTATATGGAAGGTCATTTCAAGGAAATAGATATTACATTATTTATATCAGGAATACGTATACATATATTGATGTTAATGTTAAAAGGTAACGACATAAGCTAAATTTATGTTAAGAGGTGCGAACTTAAAAATTATATTAAAAATTTAGGGAGTACAAAATTATAAAATGTCATAGATGTAAAATTAGATAATCCATAAAAAAAATAAAAAATTAAGGGATGTAACCGTACCCTTCAGTACCTTCTCGATCCATCACTAGTTAAAGGGATGGGGCAAAATATGAGGGGACCATCCCTAGTTAAAGGATTGGGGCAAAACGGGAGGGGACATGGTGCATAATGATAGGGATTCGGCCGAACCCGGACCGTACCCTGGTGTCGGATTCGTGGCACACAATTTTGCTCAAAACCAAACAAATTTACAATTTGTGAGAAACGATAACTCCTCTCACCTTTGTCTCTCCTCCCCCACCATTTTGAACTATTAAACTTCACAATTTTTGGTAAATTATTTCAAATGATTTAATAATAGAGAATTCTTTTTACTAATATCATCTATTTAAAAATTATTTTCTATTATAATATTCATTTTAGATTATTTTTCTGATTAACATTTTTTCCTGTCACGTAGGATAAAGACATGCTATGTGAAAAGTGTCTTTGAAAGCACGTCTTGTAAAACGTGTCTTTTATCTATGTAGCGGGTAATACATACACATTGGATTGAAATGAAAGAGAAAAATGAGGATCAAAATATAAAAAGAATACACGAATTTTATCAAAAACGAACAAAAGCATGTGGTGAGTGTCAAATACACATAACTATATAAGCATGAGCATGAGTCGGGCAACGATGATGACATATGTATTAATCTTATGTTCAATCACTCAATAAACACATATTTAAGAGATTATATTTAAATAATTAAAAATTCACATATCTAAAAGATATAAAATTTAAAAATAACGTTTTGATAGAGATCATAGGTAGGTCTTTGCATAGGGTTACGAGGGTGAAGCTTAGCTTTCTATATAATACATGTCACCGTCCATAAAAAAAATTGTAAGGAGAAACAAACAAGGGTCTTTGATTTTGGCTTAAAATAGATCAGCAAAATCCCAACCTACTCGACCACAAAATATCAAACTATGCCTTCTGTCTAGGTCAAATGTTTGAAGCTCCCGACGACAAAATACCTAGGCTGGTCTAGGAGCCAGCCTGAGCAATAACCCCCTTTATATTTTATTATACAAATAGCCCTTTTCATAACCTTCTTACTCCAGCCACACCGTATCAATCCTTTTTAAAGTAAAAAAATGATCTTTGCTGGTCAACTTGCTTAACCCTAAACTTTCCAAATGTACCAACTATTATATATACAATTTCGATTCCATTAGACAAGACAATTTGGAAGACAACGGTAAACATGTTGGATACTTGTTAATCTATTTTTCTAATCCATGATTGGTTTCCCACAATAAACGAGAATTTCTTTTCAATTAGTTGACGTTATCATTTCAAACATGGTCACTCGAATCTCGTCACCTAACTGTACCTAACATGCTAAAATAAATTTTAAAAACCCTAAAACAAATGTAAATACAAAACAATATGCGTTATTGCCTAATATGAGGATTTGATGTTTCAAATTGGCCCTACAATGTTAGTTGTGCTTCGAAGTACGTAAAGTCATTAATTAGTACATCATAAGGTTAAAAATGCACTCGAAGAACAAACCAGATTACATGCAAGAGGGAACAAGATCCCTACAATTATCATATCGAGGAACTTGTTGTGGAATTTGTCACCAACTGTATTATTTATTTCCTTTTTTATTTACATCCAGATGAAACATGTTAACATGACATGTGTCGAGGACCCATATTCTTCTTTGACTTGAATTTCATTAATTTTATGCATATTAATATATATAATTTAAGTGTTTAACGTCATACGTGAATTTGATCATGCGATATCATGTTCTTGGTATTAGGGTTTTTGTGGTCCTAATTGGTTAAAACTGAAAACCCTATAGTTCTAAATACACACATGGCTAGGTCTTTCGATCCATTATCGACGTAATCAATCTTTTCTATGTTTCCAAGTATTGACTGAGGAAGAAAATACGGAACAAAAGCCAAAAACATGGCGAGAATCATGTGTTCTTGCCATGGTTAACATGTTCGTAAGGTGTTTCGGCTTCATGGCTTAAGCATAATTAACTATTAATTCAGACTGGTGCATGTAAATGGGGTTCAGGATGGCTTAGTGTCCACCATAAAATTTTATTTATGTTTATTTTATACAAAATTTTTTTATTATTAATATATATGTGTCAATCCTAAAAAAAATATTTCTACATCAAGTTGAGAAACAATTTTTTAAATAAAATCGTTAGTCCCTACATTATTTATTGTGTAAAAGGAAATTAAGACCTATTGGACGCCATCTTTTTTTGAATTAATCATTCGTATTCAATCTATTAATCGACTAATCTAAATCAAGTACTGCAAAGGCGATGGCAACTCTCTCAACCCAGTTTGTTTCATTCGCAAACGCAAGGATTCGAACCCCTAACCTTGCTTAAGGGACCTACTGCCTCATCCCACTAGACCAACTGATTGTTAGTTATTGGACGCCATCTTTAATGCATACCTGTGAAGTGGAAGGGCATTTTAAACCCTTAAACAATAAGTAATTGATGATTTAATGTGTTTATGTATTCCAAGTTTGATTAATTTATTTCTTCGTAACAACGTGTTATCAAGTAAGGATGATGAAAACATTATTTTAAAAAGACATGAGAAGATTATACGTATACAGATAGTTTCTTTATTAGTGCAAAAAGAATCTATTGTTTTTTGGTAGGGGAAAGAAGATTATTCTGATATTTGAATATATAATGTTAATTATGGATAACAAGTACAGTATCATCTCTAATTTTCTCCACAAATCTTAATTAAAACCAAAGTAATGTACTTCACATCAATAATTGCTATCTTCCAACCGAAAAGACTCCAAATCAACTTCCAATAATCACATACAAACTCCACCACCCAACCCGCATAGATATTTCAAATGATCACCAGTACGTTACTTCAATAAATGTTTTTTATGATGTAAAAATGTATTAAATTTTAAGATAAATTTACATAAAATAAGATAATATGAATATCCTTAATCAATCGATCAATTAATGAATCTATATTACTTCAATAATTTTAATTATGGGTTCTATTACATGAAATCTATTCCACGAATTTTATTTTATTTTTACTTTTAGTTTTATGTTAAATTTAAATTAGGAATTAATTTAGAAAACCTATACATTAGATATAATTTAAAAAAAAGAAATTTTAGATATTAAAACAAACTAAAATTTCTAATTTAAGTACTAAATGTTAGGGTTGTTCATTCGGTTAATTTGGTGGCCGATCGAACCGAATTACTCTTAACCGAATTAACCAAACTTTTTTTTCTAAAATATTAACCGAACCGAATAAATTTCGGTTAATTCGGTTAATTTTTGAATTAACCGAAATTTTTTAAAATTTTCTAATTTATATAAAAATTAAATATTTTTAATTAAAAAAACAGTTTCTAATTAATTTAAATAATATATAATTATAAAATAAAAAATTTATATAAAATTTTTAATTAATTAATATTGATTTAGGTTTAAAAGTTATTGGATCTTAAATTATTAATTGAGTTTTAAATGATTTGGGCTGAGCCCATATGTTATATATAATATATATAATATATTTTTAATTCAAAAAAAAAGTTTATAATTAATTTAAATAATATATAATTATAAAATAAAAAGTTTATATAAATTTTTTAATTGATTAATATTAATTTAGGTTTAAAAGTTATTGGATCTTAAATTATTAATTGGATTTTAAATAATTTAAGCTGAGCCCATATGTTATATATAATATATTTAAAATTTAAAATTTAATTTCGGTTAATTAACCGATTTCGAACAGAATTAACCGTTAATCAAATTCTAAAAATTTTCTTAACCGTTAACCGACCGAACTAATTCGATGATCGATCGAATTAACCGAACTAATTCAATTCGATCGATTAATCGAATTAATTCAAAATTTTGAACATCCCTATTAAATGCATAATTTAACATAATGTCTTTCGGTGTAACAAATGCAGTGCAAGTACAATTTTAACCAGCAATGATGGCACAACTAATAACGTGTCCATTACCTTTTGAGAATCCAATCATTGTCGAAACCGTCGTGAGTGGTGGGCTTCCGATTAAACTCCCCTCTATCTCAACTCATATCCCTAGCATGTAACGCCATTCCATCATCAATCATGCGAATTCACTTTTTTTATATATAATATATAAAATATCACAAATAATGTATCGAATACAAAATCGGGAAAGTAAGTTTTAACATCTTAAAAGATAATTTTCATATTTCGAGTTTCATATTTACCGATTAAATTTTAATTTTTTATTATTTTTATCATATTAAAAATAATTCATAAATTTAAATATAAAATATCTCTAAGTTAAAAATTAAAGGAGTAAAAATAATTTAAACACCATATGAAACTATCAACATATAAAAAAAATATTGTTTTTATTTTTCACAAAACAAATCTAACTGTAATTATTTTAAATTTTAAAAAGTGACAAAGACAGCGCAGCAATAGCCGCCATTTCCACTCTCATCCCTTTGGTGATGATTGATGATGAAAAGCATTACTGTAGAATAGATTAATATAAACAAACAGACAAAAAGAGAGAGATTTTTAATAGCACCGAATTAAATGAAAGCAAAAGCTAGAAGATATAAAGTTTGGGAATACTAAACATAGATCCTAAAAATCTTTTCCTTTTTTAATTTTTTTTCAAAGAAATTCAACTTTTAAAGCCATCTTCAAACCATTTGTTCTCTGTCAAACCTTGTTATTTTGCTTGTTTAGTACGTTATTCACCCAAATTTCTAACATTGAGGAAACTGGGGTTTCACCTATATAAACCCTTCTTCTCTCGATCCCATTCATCTCCACTCATTTTCTCCCTTTCTTTTTTAAGAAATTGAATAAAATGAAGGGAGACGATGAGTGTATTATAGTGGTAAGGGAGTTTGATCCTAGCAAAGATGTAAGAGACGTAGAACAAGTAGAAAAAAGATGCCAAGTTGGTCCCAGCGGCAAACTCTCCCTCTTCACCGACCTCTTAGGTGACCCTATTTGCCGGGTCCGCCATTCCCCTGCTTTTCTCATGCTGGTATATATAACTAAACACTCTTTTCTCCCATTTTCTTTCCTCACTATAATCTCACTCTTTCTTGGTTTCCCCCGTACCAAACAGGTGGCTGAATTAAGCTCCACAGAAGAGATGGTGGGGATGATCCGAGGTTGCATAAAAACTGTTACTTGTGGGACGAAACTCTCTCGCAATTCCAAAAACAATGATCCCATTAAACCTCTCCCTCTTTATACCAAACTCGCTTACATTTTAGGCCTTCGAGTTTCTCCTTCCCACAGGTATTTTGCTAACCAAAATAGCCGAAAATCCAGTCTTTTATTACGTAGAATGATCAATCAGTCAATAGTAATCAATGATCTTAATTCTGGTTTTTTTCTTTTTTCTTTCTTTTCTCAGGAGAATGGGAATAGGGCTAAAGCTGGTTCTTAGAATGGAAGAGTGGTTTATCCAAAACGGCGCTACATATTCTTACTTAGCCACTGAAAACGATAACCTAGCTTCTGTCAATCTCTTCACCGATAAATGTGGTTACTCCAAGTTCCGTACTCCGTCCATTTTGGTTAACCCGGTGTTCGCTCATCGACTCACCGTTTCCAACCGAGTCACCCTGGTCAAGCTTTCCGTATCCGACGCCGAGTCGCTGTACCGACGACGTTTCTCCACCGTTGAGTTCTTCCCTCGCGACATTGATTTTGTTCTTAAGAATAGATTAAACCTGGGAACGTTCTTGGCCGTGCCACGTGGATTTTATACGCAGGAGTCGTGGCCCGGGTCGGATAAGTTTTTATCTAACCCGCCAGAGTCATGGGCGGTAATGAGTGTTTGGAACTGTAAGGACGTGTTCAGGTTGGAAGTTCGTGGCGCGTCGAGGATGAGGAAAACGTTGGCTAGAACGACGAGGGTTTTGGACAAATTGTTGCCGTTTTTGAGGGTGCCGTCGATTCCGGAAGTGTTTCGTCCGTTCGGTCTGCACTTTTTGTACGGAGTTGGTGGGGAAGGGCCACTCGCGGCTAAGTTCGTTAAAGCGTTGTGCGCGCACGCGCATAACTTGGCGAAAGATGGAGGGTGCAGTGTGGTGGTGACTGAAGTGGCGAGTCGTGAGCCGTTGAAAGTAGGGGTCCCACATTGGAAGAGATTATCGTGTGAGGAGGATTTATGGTGCATCAAGCGCCTTGGAGAAGTCTATAGTGACGGGTCTGTCGGTGACTGGACTAAATCACCTCCTGGACATTCCATTTTTGTAGACCCCAGAGAATTATAAAGTTCTAACAAAAATAATAACAGTAGCTTTTTTTTAGGGTTAATACCTCAATTATCACTCAACTTTAAGCTCGTATTCGAAATGTCACTGACGTTTCAATTTTGTCAATTTTATATCTGACGTTTATGTTTCACTGCAATTATGTTATCCCGCCATTAATGACTTAACGACACGATGACATGACATCTTCACACCGTGACGTTGCTAACGTGGCTCTCTCCCCAAAACGACATCGTTTTGACGCAACTAATTTGATGCTTAAAAAACCAACAACGATGTTATTTTGTTAGAATCATTTGATGAATAATTGCTTTCCATGGGATTTGAACTTGTATCCTTTGGAAATAAATACTAAGCACCCAACCACCTAGCTAATTTAATAATCTAATATGTTTTTAACAAGTATAATATATATGTTAAATTCCAGTTGTATGCTTCTTCTCCAGCGTTTTCAACAAGGCGACTGCCACAGACAATCTTCACTGTCAACTATCAAACAGGATAGCATGACTTTGAGCGTCTCTTAGAGTACAGTCACGAGAAATCAAGCAAAAATTTTTATCAAAATTCCCAACAATCCATTTCACAAATATCTCTTCCTTTTCCAAACCAATTCATTGAATTTGAACCTTCAAAGGTCGAAACTTTACGTCGAATATGCTACTTTACTGCAGACTCCTCACCTGTTAATTTGACAAGAGTCCTCATCCTCACCTTTCCCATTACAATGGTTTGCTCTTCGACTACTCTCGCAATAACAACAACAAGGAAGCTCTAAATCTCTTTGTGGGTATTCATCGTTTTGGTTTGCTAGTTGATGGATCCACTTTATCTTGTGTTTTAAAGGTATGCGGATGCTTGATTAATGCGATAGTTGGAAGTCAAGTTCATTGCCAATGTAAGAAACTTGGGTTACTTGAGGATGTCCGTGTAGGGACTTATCTTTTAGATATGTATCTGAGGACAGAGAATGTTAAAGATGGTAGGAGCGTTTTTTATCATTTAGGGGAAAGAAATATGGTTTCTTGGACTTCATTGCTTGGTGGCTATGCTTAGAATGGAATGAAAGTGCAAGTTTTGGAATTGTTCTTGCAATGCAAATGGAAGGCATAAAACCCAATCCATATATCTTTGCAACTGTTATTCGAGCTTTGAAAGATGGTTTTATTTGTGACACTAAGATCGAAACCGTGCTTATAGTAGCTTACAGTGGAAACGCTGGAGAAGAAGAGTGGAGAAGAAGTATACAACTGGAATTTAACATACATATTATATTTGTTAAAAATATATCATTTTTAAGTTAGCTCGGGTGTTTAGTATTTATTTCCGAAGGATACAGGTTCAAATCTCATGGAAAGTAACTTTTTATCAAATGATTATAATAAAAGACATCGTTTTGGATTTTTTTTAAGCATTAAAATAGTTGTGTTAAAATGATCGTTTTGAGGAGGGAATCACGTCAGCTACGTCACGGTACAGAGATGCCATGTCACCGTGCCATTAAGCCATTAACGACGGGATGTCATAATTGCAATGAAATATAAACGTCAGAGATAAAATTGATAAAATTAAAACGTCGGTGATATTTTCGAATACAAATTTAAAGGTAAGCGGTATTTGAAATAGTTAACAATTTATTATTATTGATTTTAACAAAATAAGGGAATAAAAAGATATGGGTTTTGTTTGGATGTAGATTTTTGTTTTTGGCTTTTAGAAAAATTGATTGATTTTTTAAAATCGTGTTCCAGACAAAGGAAGCCTTTTGCGGGGTTGAATATTTTCTTAATTTAATTCATTTTTCAAAGTACATTTCAAGGATGGTTTTAAATAAGACAAAATAATCTCAGTGACCAAAAATGCTTTATAATATACGATTTATTTTAAGTTCGTTGTGATAGTCGAAGTTCGCGTTGCGATTTATTCCAAATTCGTTACGATAGTCCAAGTTCGCGTTGCGATTTATTTCAAGTTCGTTGCGATAGTCGAAGTTCGCGTTGCGATTTATTACAAATTCGTTGCGATAGTCGAAGTTCGCGTTGCGATTTATTCCAAATTCGTTGCGATAGTCTAAAATCGCAACGATGGTATTGCATTTGTTTCTTAAGAATTTTCTCTAAAAAGATAGTATTCGCGCGGACGTGTCGAAGACACGTATTACCACGGCCACGACCACGACCCGAGACGAGACGGACGGCGGCGGCGGCGGCGCGCGAGAGAGTCCCTTGTTCTCTATCACTCAACAAGGAAGTGGGAAAGCCAAGCCTTAAATACCATTCCCAATAGTGTTTTCAATACTATGTGACATTGAGCATTACCAACACTTGTTCCCAACACAAGTTCGCATTGCGATAGTCCAAGTTCTCATTGCGATAGTCGACTATCGCATTGCGATTTGCATATCGCATTGCGATTTACATATTCGCATTACGATAGTCCAAGTTCGCATTGCGATAGTCCAAGTTCGCATTGCGATAGTCCAAGTTCGCATTGCGATTTACATATTTGCATTGCGATAGTCCAAGTTCGCATTGCGATAGTCCAAGTTCGCATTGCGATAGTCGAAGTTCGCGTTGCGAATCTGGAAATTGATTTGCGATACCGGAGATCGCGTTGCGAATTATCGATCGTATTGCGATTTAGTTGGTCATTTTGGCAAATCCAAAAAAAGTTGGTTAAAATCGTATATTATAAGGTATTTTTGGTCAATGAAGTTATTTTCTCTTTAAATAATAGTTGAAGTTTGGTTGATTTTTTTTAAAATTTAATTTATTTCTCGTTTCGTATAGATAGTATTATTTGATTTGGAGTGTCTAAGAAAAATAACAATATTTTTTACTATCAGAGCTATTTTTAAATTTAATTTTTTAGATATTATAATTCTAGATAGATACATACATATTCAGAAATAATTTATAGGGTGGGTGGGCACTTATATATTAACACCACCAGATTTTTGAATGAGGTTGACACAAATAAAATTTTAAAGAGGACAACCTCAATAAAATAAATAATTAATAAAAAATTGAATTTCAGGGTAAGCATGTGTTCACCCTCACCAAGTGTTAAAATTCTCTAAAAGACAATTTTACCATCTAAGTCATTTTATTTTGGTATAAAAGTGTTAAAATCCTAATGATAAAGAACACATATGATCCTATGACTATAGTATGTTATTTTGTTAAGTTCATCAACTATTAAAAGTTATAAAATAGTCCACCAATTATAGGTCACTACTTTGTTAAGCCTCCCAATTATAAAAGTTACAAAACGATCAATTGACTATTAATATATTCTAAATTCATCATTTTTTCATTAAAAATTGATGACCATCTATGTTGAATGTTAACCTGCTAATTGAGAAATGATAAAATTTAATTTCAGAATCGCAAATCACTATACAACTCAAATGATTTTGTGATTAGATTTTATTATATCTTGGTTAGCAAGTTAACACCCAGCTCAGACGACTGTCAGTGTTTCAATAGAAAAGGATGAGTTTAGAACATATGAATAGTCAGATGACTATTTTGAAAATTTTAATAGTTAGAAGACTCAATAAAATAATATCCTATAATTGATGAATATTTGTATACTTTACCCAAAAATTAAAATGATTCTTTCGATGAGAGGAAAAATCATTGGTATTGAAGAGTATCTCTAATAATATGGGAACTCTTTACTTCCAACTCAGAAAGGAAAAAAAAAGCCATTTGACTTTGGGCCCTAATCAATTATTCCCTAGTAAAAAGGAAATAAAACTTTGAACATATGCCGTTAGACAGGGTACCCTACGATATATAAGCGTACCCTATCTATCTTTATATTCAATAGATTAATTAGGTTCTTAGTATCTTTCCAATTGAGGATCGGTGGAGGAGAATAAAGGAATATATGAATAAATCCTAAATAATCTTTTGTGGAGCATAAATAAAACTTTTGTAACTGTTTTTGATTTATTTTGTTCTTCTCTTTAAACTGGTTCTGTTATGAACAATGGGCCATGTAGGAAGTTCTATAGGATTGTGATTTGACCCAATAACAAGACAAAACATAAACTTTTTTTTATATATATAAATAATTATTAAAATATAAAATATCTAAATTATAATAAATGTTTACAACCTCAATCGTAAACTAAATACAGAATAAAGACATTTTCTTATAATCATTAACATAAGAAAACTAGTCACTTAAGATCACAAGGATCATATAAGAAAAAAGTTAAAAAACATAATCAAATAAACTCAAATAAAAGGTAAATATGAACAGATCTGGCTACATCGGTAAACGAACTACAAAAAAAGATCAAACTATTAAAAGACCATTGATAAACCACAAATCAGAATTGAGCAACATAAAAAAACTATTCACAAACACAAATCGTGTATCTAAATCCAATCCGGTAATCCAAAATAGGGAAAAACAACATGATAACAAATAAGTGTCATATTGATTAGTAATGACAATGTCAAATGCGATCCTAAGAAAAATGATAAAGCATAAATTTTAATGATTTTTTAAGTCTAGTAAATTTAGTTCGATTAATATTATCGTTAGTATAATATATAGGAAGATATAATATTAAACATATTTAAATGTCTAATAACCTTTTATTTATAAATAGGAAAGGATTTGAATGAAATAGATATTATATCAAATTGTTAAGAAAACTTAAAAAGAATAAAATGAATAAACAAAGTTTGCAAGGCTTACTTCATATATGTTTTAAAATATTAATAATCACCCTTGCAGTAGATAGTGCTCAAACTCATAGCCTCTAGTAACAATAATAATTCCTTTAACCACTAAGATAAGTTGGTTCATGCAACCAACTAGTATATTTTGAAATAATTGTATATGAGATATTCAAATTATAATCCTTATTTTAAATTAATCCTTAGATTTTTAAATATTATATATCAATTCTTAAATTATGACAATATTTTAAATTGTTTCTTAAACTTTGAAATATTCTATATTAGCCCTCAAATGATTAA